CAGCTGTCAGTTGGAAATAAGTGGCTGCATCGGTAAAATATTATACATTAACACATTTAACAGTTTTCTACCAGCATTCCAGCAGTCGTGTAAGTTAAATGTTTCCTACGTCTAAATTTATTTGAAAAGACAGTGACCATCATCCTAAAGTGCATTAACTCTTTTTGGAGAAAGTCAAAAACCATTTCAATTGAGCACAATTGAGGATATTTTTCAAATTTTACTGTACCCGTCTGTTAAGGTCATTAACAGACGGGCGCTGTAATGGTATTGATGGTCTCCTCAAACTCTCGGCAAGACAGTGAATAGGCATGAAAAACTAAATACAAAAACATCAAACATGAGAGACAATATCTGTGTGTCAGTCAACCTGCTCACCATCCTCAGGGTTTCAGTAGAAAACAAATGGACTTCTTTTTGGTTCTTCAAGACGTTTTCACCTCTCAAGAAGTCTTCAAGTCTTTAGGAACCAAAAAGAAGTCCTGTTGTTTTCTGCTGGAGCATTTAGGATGAAAGAACATCTTTTGTTTTTGACTTGTGTCAACATCTTTACCTCACAAGCTTTGGCCATAGCAAAGCCTCCTCCGAGCAGCAGGATGATGTTCCAGGGAACCGAGTCCTGGGCTTTTTTCCACGACAGCAGAGGGACATAAGGAGTGTTTGAAGCTGCAGGAAAGAACAAGACGCTCTTTGAGTAAACTGCATCATAGACCAATTGAATTAAGCATTTTAATTCAACAATTTGATCAAATATGTAGCAAAATATAAGTTAATGTAAATCACTGATGTCACAGAACTTTAAAATGATAATCTCAATCTCTTGACGTTTGGAAATGTTTAAGATATATCATGTTTTTTTTTTCACACAATGTTTTCTACAAAATGTTGCTCAGATTAATGTGATTAAACCTCTTAGGTGGTATTTAAAGACTGCTCTTCAGTGTGCAAACAATGTCTGCTAATTTAATTCCTGTGAATAAAGTAAGCAGGTGCATTTACAGCTTATAAATCTTTATCAATAGCTACATTCATTTTCAGAACATTCAGCATAATAACAGAAATGTAACCACAACTGTGAATCTTTTGTGACACTATCAGGTGCTTTTGGCAGCCAAAAAGTCTGTGAGTCTGAGTTTTACATTTTAAAGAAAGCTGAGACGCAATTAGATTTTTATACTAAATACTGAAATTTTGATTTACTTTTGTACTGTTTTTGTACTTCTTTATTTCTTATATGTTCTGCTTTTAAAGCTCATCTTCCACTCTGTTAAACACAACCAGCCAGATTTTATTCTCTTCTTTTATGAAGTCGGACCCACACTGAGAGGGACAAATGATTTGCTTTTTTTTGCAGGCGTCCAGTGGTTTATTTGACCAGCTGAACATAATATACAGAGTCACACACACACGTGCCTCATGTCTCCAGCACACTAAACACGTGCATTAAGTTTGTACTCACACACACATACACACACACACACAGACACACACACACACACACACACACTGATTTATATTAATTTCCTGGATTCTTACTCTAACCACAACTATACCTATATCTTGCCAAACTCTGACTGTTTGAATGATATTTGTCACCGAGACTTGCTTCCTGTCCCCAAAATAGAGGTGAGTCTCCATAATGTGTCAACAAATCAGTCTCTGCGACATGAATAATACGAAATACACACATTCACACACACATAAACAAAAAGCCCAAAGTGTGACAACATAACTTTGAGAGATTATTCTAATCACAGAAACAGAGAAACTTCAGTCTCACTTCCAGACGGGAAATTTACTCAGACTCTCTAATCTACATTATTAACATTCCTCGGCTTACTTGCTGTATTTTGCAATCGCTGTACTAGAGACACCATGTGCATGAATTCATCACAGATGTCTGTTTATAGATATTAACTTTTGACCTAACCTGATCTAAACCCATGGTGCATCTCAAACTTGTTTATCTTCAACTGTATATCAGAGTCATTCAAATCCTTGCATATAAAATATTAGATATTGAAATCAGAGCACAACACTGTAAAAAATGAACAGTTTTAAATGTATTTTTTGAAACATTTTACTGTTGTTTAATAGATTTCCTTGCTTGTTAATTTAAAGATAGTAAATTAGGTCATCACAGACAAAATGCTATGTTTAATAGTTTACTGTAAAAAAACAAAAGAAAAACAAACAGCCAAAACTGTAAATAATTTTCACATCCGAAATGTATATTTTTACAAACAGCAATTATTTTATTTACAATGTTGACTGTATTAAAATTGAAAAAATATGACATAGTTTTATAGATAGTAGTCATTATTTGAAAAAAATCTAAAGAAGTATATCAAGGATTACAACTGGTCATTTATTTTGAGCTGTTTTAACTATTTTTTAAAGCTTTTCCCTGTTAAATTTTAAACATTTTTCTGGAGATAATATATATAGTGGAATCGAATGAAGCATTACTTTATGTTTGACAATAAAAAATAAAAACAAAAACAAGACAAAACTGTACATAATGTTCATTTTAAAAATCTCTGTTTTTGCAAGAAATATGTTTTGCTTTAACAATGTGTAACCATAAAATTATACTGTTTTATTGTATCTAAATTTGCAAAAATGGCATTATTGTATTTGACTGCAGTTATCTGAAAAAAAAGTGCACATTAAGGAGAAGGTGATCATTTGTAAAGTGTTACAGTGTTGAAATTACAATTTACATGCTAAAACAAAACAAAACAAACAAAACAAAACAAACAAAAAAAACATATATATGTACATAATGACTACAACAATAATCTGTATTTTTACAAATAGCAATCGGTTGCGTTATAATGTGTGATCCTAATTTTTTTTTACTGTATTTAAATCTGCTAATATATATATATATATATATAATTTGACAGGTAACATTATTTTGTACAGCTTTTGGATACTACAATATTGCACCATTTTTTTTTTTTTTTTTTTTTTTTTTTTTTTTTTTTTACAGTGTTTTGTTTTTTAACCCTTGCTGCAAAATTTTCACTCTTTTTTTCAGTGGGGTCATTTTTACAGTGTTGTAAATGAAACATTAATAGAAAAGTTGTGACTGACCTTGAGGGTCGAACCACCATCTGAAAGAAGGTTTTTGTGAAGGGAAGAAGAACAATATAGACACAATGATCACTCCAGTGACTGCGTCTGAGACGTACCTGCAGGACAACAGAGGGAGAAGGAAAATGAACGAGGTAATGAGTGATGAATGAGATAATCAACAGGTTTCAAAAAGTACGTACACACTTGGTTCGACTTCCAAATGGACGAGCTAGTATTACAAGCAATCGTGCTCCTCTTACCCCTGTTTAAAAAGCACGGACCAGCCAGTGACGAATTTAGGATCTCTTGTAAAGAGTAGAACGGCAAACAACACAAAAAAGAAAGAGATGGCTCCCTCTGCAAAACTGAAATCAAGGATGCAGAGTAAAGTGAGATAAAGACTCTGACAGACATGTAGTGAGTCAGCATCTATTGCATGAGATTTGAAGACATACACGAGTCCTCACTTTAAGGGCCCTAGTCTTCTGTAATCTTCCTCTATTACAGCCTTGGCTCGGGCCTCTGCCTGGGCTCTCCGGTCATGTCTCGCAAAGCACAGTCTGAAATAAAAGAAAAGGTGCTGGAGACAGAGTTTGGGAACTAATTGTCATAATAATGTTCTTTAAAATTATGTCTTTTTACTCGTATAAAAACCACACTTATGACAAAGCCTGGCTGTATACATCTTCTAATGCTCAAAATATCAGTGTAACATGATAATATACAGAAGTTTACCTTGTATTCAATCCACCATAGAGAAATGAGATCCATAGCCATCCCAAAGCCAGGAAGATAAGCATGAGCGGGAAAGCAAACGCAAACCAGGAGCCAAAGTTGATCAGATCGCAGTCTGGGAAGTAGCTTTAAAGGAAAAAATGATTGTTGTCAAACAGCTGGAAAAGGATGTTTTTTATGTAGCAGAGTCAGTTTAAATGCTGCACAAAATAAAAAGCTACCTTTTCAGCTGTCCAATCAGGATGAGGTTTGGTGCGGTGCCTGTCAGCGTGGCGGTTCCTCCGATACTGGCTGCGTAGGGAATACAGATCAGGAACCCTTTCCACACGTTGAGCTGATACATCGACTCTGACCGGATCTCCTCGGCTGTCCTCAGGTCAGGCTGCTCTGCTGCATCCGTCCTTTCAAAGCATTATCAGTTTATAGATCTCAGGATGAATATCGTTCTCATGAGTCAGTGACAAATATGAAGCTACAGCCTATTAGCTTAGCTTAGCATAAAGACTGGAAAAGATGCAGCCTGGTCCTGTCTACAAGTAACAAACTCCACCCACCAGCACCAGTTACAACATTATATCTTGTAACAGAAGAGTAAATAGGACTGGTTGTGTTTTTAGGGAGGGTTATTTTCTAAACTATTTATGGATTTCCTTTTGTTACCTTTAGACAGCCTGTTTCTCTGTTTCCAGCCTTTAAGCAAAGCTAACTGTGTTCAGGTTGTAGCCCCAGACAGATATGAGAGTTGTAAAATGTCTTTACTACCAAATTATCTGTGTTGTTCTTACCCCTCTATTGACAGTATTTGTTTTTCCGAAGGCACTGAGGGCAGTGAATGCAGCTTCACAGAAGATTGGCCTGAAAGAAAATAAAGAGTTTATGATAGTTGAAAGGAAACTAGAAAACTGATCTCCACAGAGTATAAACATGAGAAAAAATTACTTTCACCCCTGTCAGGTTGTTGTACTTTTGATATATTTAATATATGACTTAAGTCAATAAGTCACCATTAATCAATTACTACTTAAAGATGGACTAACTTTGTGTGTGACGATTTTGTGTTATGGAAAGACCGCACAAAGTTCACATAGTAGATTACATATTAAATCACAAACTGGCAAAGTTAAAACAACACAACAACCATCTTCACTGTCTGTGTACACATGTTTTATAAAGTGACAATAAACATGATCATAAACATAAATTCACAGATTTTTTTGTTAAACAAACTATAAAAATGAGCATATTGTCACCTTTTAAAATTTTAACAGATATGCAGTGACATAGTGATTCATTTCTTTTTCTGTCCATTTGAAAAATATTTGTCCAGTATTCACTCAGTCCCAAAGCCTTTACTGGGAAGTATTCTTTTTTTTAAGCAGATAAGTATTTTTAAATGTTTTACAGAGCTTCTGCTGTTGTTGAAGTGGCTATGAAAGGACTAAGAGTGAACTACAACATTCCAGTTTTTGGCTAGAAAACCAAAACAGTGTTAAAAGATGCTTAAATCCCTACCTAAACACTACACACAGACATTTCTTCTATTGTTGATATAAAGATATTTTTTAAAGCAGCTTTAAGTTAAGATGCTGTGCAGGTAGTGTCCCAAGGTTTCAGGGAAAAGTGTAAGAGAATATAATGTACCATTTATCACAGCGCTCTCGTGATCCTCGGGGGATTTGCACTTTAGTTTCAGGGTCTCCAGGTCGCCAAACAAGCTCTCCAGGATGGCATTCGCAATGGGGAGCATCATGGCTGTTGTGGCCGTGTTGCTGAGCCACATGGACAGGAAGGACGAGGTGAGCATCATGCCCAGTATCAGCCTGTGAAGACAATTCAATTCACAGTCCCACATCAGTGCAGCTGGCCTGTCTGTGGCCTAAAACAAGTGGGTATTACAGGTTTAGCAAACCTTACCAATACATATGATATGTTTAGATACATTGGGCAACACTTTTTAAAAATCAGCACGGGTTCATTACTGGTTACTTTCTTAGTGAGTGTCGCTCAAAATGAGATAAATACAGAATCATCCTTTAAACTGCCCTCCAGTAAAGCTGTGTTCTCACCAGGCTGGTTTTACTCCAACAATAGTAAGCACCTTCAGTGCTATTCTACGATGCAGGCCCCACTCCTCAATAGACGATGCCATCACGAGGCCGCTGAGGAAGAGAAAATTGGTCTCGATGAAGTACTGAGGGCAGACTTTTTTGGCTGGAAGGATTCCCATCGTCGGGAAGAGGCAGACTGGAAGTATCGCTGTGACAGCCAGAGGAAGGGCCTCTGTACACCAAAACATAGCCATCAGCACCACCACGTAAAGACATTTTCCCTCCTAAAAGATGAGCAACATGTGATCGTTAATGCTCGGCCAACTTCAAGAACAGCAACTTGTCACAAGAAAGACAACAGAAAACACTGGAATGAGGAGTGTGTTAGGCAGGTGGTGTATTGTTTGTTTTTGTGGATGTCAGTGGCACAACAGTTACAGAGACAATGTGTTCATGTCTGCGTGGGAGGCATTTTTGAGGATCAACTAAAATGCATGCCACATACTTGAACACTAGTTTAACATAACCATAATGAAATAATAGATTATTATCATTATTCGCGTTTTACATTTAGATTGGAGTCAAGAGCTGCAACTCATTGATTCATTGTTTGTCTACAAATAGTCAGAATGTTCCCATCAGAACTTCTCAGAGCCCATGACCTTCAACTTTAAACTGAGCAACTCTCTGAGATGTTCAGTTTACAGCCAATGCTCTGATCTGAGAAGCTGAAACAAGAATATTTGGGCATTTTCATCACTCATGAGAAAAGACTTACATGATTACCAAGTTAGATTAGCTCCAACTGAAGCATTTCTTTAAGCATCGGGACACATAAAAGTCTCGCTTGTGCTCTTGGTATATATCCATACAGGACGGGAATGTGACGAATTACTACGGTTCACCTGCTGTTCCTACACCTGACGCGTAAAGACGCACACGTAGCGTAAAAAAAAAGGAAAAAAAAAACCCCACTCACCTTCTCCGGTAGAGTAAAAAGTAAAGGCAGGAACACGAGTGGAGTGAGCAGCAGGATCAGCTGTTTGTGGACGCACCACAGCTTCTTGGACACAACCGATATTTTCATCCCCAGACTGAAGTTTTGCTCCGTTTAGAGAGAATGAGCTCCAGACTGGCTGAGTGGCAGCACTTTGAAGGCTGTGAGAGAGTCCAGAGAAGATTAACCAACGCCTTGCTACAGGTTAACTCCTCCTGGAGTTTCGTTAGAAGGAATAGTCGACTTTCTGTCAGGTTTCCACCCAGCAGGCCTCTCCCACCTAGACGAGAGCACTGAGGCATCTTCCGAGGCAGAGAGGAGGATTCAGGCATCTGCAGACTCACACTGACAGGCTGCAGATTCTGAATGACCCGCAAATAAAGTGCTTCTGAGTTGGAGCATGTGGAGACTGAGAGTCAGCACACAGTCTGAAGGTTACACTGGACTCAGCAGCCTTTACCTGTGATCCTTACAGTTATGTATATTTAAGATTTTAACCCTGTTGTGTTAAATTACAGATAACAACGAGTAAAATCACAGGAATAAAGTATTAATTTACATGTTGTTAAAAACAAAACAAACTGAAAACTTAATTATATCCCCTTTAAAATTTATTCCTTTGCAATGTTGGACTGTGAAATTACACTGACTTACTATATTTAAATCAGCAAATAAATAAATAAAAAATGTAAAGATATTTGCCATTAATTCAAAGAAAAATTCTGTATCCAAACATTTGGAAAATAGTTAGTTATTTTTTAAACTGTCCTTTTACAGATTTTTACAGTTTTGTTTTTACAAATGACAGAGAATAGTAAAATCACAGAATGATGTATCAGCTTACATGAACACTGTAAAAAAAAATTACATCAATAAATAAAATGAAAACAGTCCAAAACGGTACACAATGTCCACATCCAAAATCTGTATTTTTACAAATACTAATTCATTCTTTTGTAATGTGGTCACAAATTATATGTTTTTTTTACTGCATTTGATTCACCAAAAAATATTATTTTACTGATATTTGCCATAAATGTTCAAAATTTTTGCAGTTTTAAACATATTTTTCTGGCTCCCATTGCTGCCAGATTTGACCTGCTTTGTACAGGTTTTTTTTGTTTTTTGTTTTTTTAACTGAGTAAAAGGGTCTTTGGATGTTCTGTAGTCACTTGGAAGTGGTTAGTCATAGCTTTGTGTAATCTTTATGACTTGTGGTACCGAGGTACTGGTTCCTCAGTATG